TTAGGCCTGTCATCTCAATACTATCAAGGATGAGGCAGGAAGATTGCCTTGCATTGGAAGGCAGCTAAGAACTACTGTTTGAAGAAAGTCTGCCTCAAAAATAAGTGGAAGGGATGGTTAGCTGATAAGCATCAAGTATGTCCGAAATGTGAATTTTAAATCCAGGGTCACCATGTACCTTCGTGGCTGCCAATTTGTGATCCTTCACATCCCGTCCTCCTTGGCCCCAAAGTTAAGCAAGATAAGAATCTGAGACTTGAAATGGCACCTAAAGGCCTATGGGAATGAGTATCTGAAAACAATAATAAACTTCCAGGCTCCCAGCATATAAGAAAGTAACTTTGAACGTGAATTTCTGCTGAATTTCTTGCCGAAGCAGTAAGAACACAGTCTTTCTGGGCACTCAACCATGTGCTTAGCACTCTTCTAAGGCCTTCACTTGTGTTAACTCATTTGGTAGGTGAAGAGACATGTTCAAAGAAGTAACTTGTGCTTGGCTTTAGCTGTTTGGGAGACTGAGGCAGGAGGATTGCAAATTTAAAGGCAGCCCAGACAACTTAGCCTGTGTGCCCCCACCTGACCCTGCCACCTACACCCCAGACTCGAGAGTAGAGCTGGGAATATTATCAACAAGATCCCTTGTATAGTACTCCCCAGACTCCAGGGTCAATCCCGTACCACAAAAGAAGGCAATTAAGTAACTCGCTCAAGGACCCCTTGCCAACAGGAGAAAAAAGCAAGAACTCCAGCTGTACAGTTTTCCGTTTTCAGTCTGATGAACATAAAACTTATAGCATCTCCAACCTCCTTTCCCATTTTACGTTTGTTATTTATTTGTGTGTATATATGGACAGAAGTGGAAGTCAGACGACAACTTGCAGGAGTTTGTTCTCTCCTTCCACTATGTGGGTCATGGGGCTTGAGTGCAAGTCAAGTGTGGTGGCAGATGCTTTTACCTTAGCTGGAGAGTCATCTCCCCCACCCCTCCCACACACCCTGTTTTTTGAACAGGCTTTCACATTGGCCTTGAACCTCTGATGCTCCTGCCTCAACCTCATGAGTGCTGTGATGACAAGTGTGCACCACCATGCCCAGGTTGCTTCTAGCACCTTTGTGTGTGTGCTTCCATGTGAAGTATCAGTCTCAGCTGAGTGGCTGCTCCCAGGATGGGGTTGGGGAGTGGGGTGCATACTTGGCTATGCCAACAGATTCTACAGGAAGCACAGTCCTAACTAGAAGGCATCCACTATGTGCCACGCAGAGAGTGGAAGATGATAGTGCCAGAGTCAAGTCACCATGGTCACTGGCAGAAGTGTCAGAGATGAGCAGACAACAGGAGAATCATCCATTCTTCAGTCAACAAACATCCCTCGAGTCCAACATGCCTGGCACTGTCTCTGCAGTTAGTTTTAAGTGTAACTGGTTAGTTATTTTCAGTTTTAAATTGCATGTAGTAGAGGGGTCAGAGAGACTATAGTTTTCTTTTTATTGCTACATATAAAAGTACAGGGCACAGTAAGAAGGCAGAAAGCTAAAAGAATAAAAAAGGAGGTTACTGGGAGAAAATGATTTCCTAGTTTCAAGAGACCAGATGAGAAAACAATCATTTAGGAAATCAAGACCACAGGGGAAGATGGACATGAAGTATCATTCAAGTTCAAGTTTCATCAGCCTCTTTATTGAAGAAACAATAGGGTTTTGTTGTTAGTTTGTTTTGATAAGAGAAAATAGATCAGTGTGACAGGATGCCTCAGTGAGTGAAGTACCCATCAAAAGCCTAATGACCTGAGCTCAATTCCCACAACCCTCATAAAAGTGGAAGGAGAGAACCAACTACACCAACTTGTCCTTGACCGCCACCTGCACAGAGTAATAAATCTTAAAAAATTATCTTTTAAAAAGATATGGGATCAGCCCCACTTTTATCAAAAAATAAATGTAAATTTTAAATAGTTAAATATATAAATGTGAAAAGCTGTTCTTGGAATTTTAAAGAAGAATATAAGAGGACATCTTTATTTTAATTTGTTGTTTTGATTTGTTGAGACATGTAGCCCAGGATAGTCTTGAACTGAAATTCTCATCCTCCCAAATGCTAGGATTATAAATCTATGTTACCAGCCTTGGAGAGAGCATTTCTATTGCCTCAGTCTGTGGACAAATTCTGTTAATTAAAAATAAGAATAAAATATAAAGGACAATGATAAATTTTACCACACTGGAGTTTAAAACTTTATGAAAAATATTTAAAACTAGAAAAGGTGAGCTATAGACTCATATTTTTGATGCATACCAAGGTCTTCAAAGATCTAAGATAGTGTGGATATCTAAGAACTTCTATTCTCCACAACCCAATCAATTAAAACGTTCTGTGAGAAAATTATCCCAAGATCAAAAAATGTGTATGCACACGTGTGCTTATGCAGAGACCTTAAGTTGACATTTGGTGTCTCCCTCCATGGCTTCCCCCTTTTCTCTCTTAAAAGATAGTCTCAGTGAGATTGGAGGAGATCACTGTTTTGGCAACACTAACCCTTGAGTCCCTGGGATCCTGAGATTGGACTGCTATGTGGGTGTTGGGGATTCAAACTCAGATCTTCAAGCTTATGTATCAAGCACTTAACCCAGAGCAATTTCCCAATCTGTCTGTGTTGATATTTCTTAGAGATTTGCCTCTAACCTCTATCAAAGCTGATTCATACGTAAAAATTATTCTAAGTTCAGCATCTACGTCCCACCTCGGACAAACAAGGATAAAAACAGAAATCCTGGAGGTAGAATCCTCCAGGCTCTGCTGAAATCGGCAGCTCCAGCTGCTGTCTGGTGCCACAGTGCCTGGCAAATCCCCAGAGCCAGATGCAGGGCTGTCCCTTGGTACTGCTTTTGTTCTCTTTCCCTAACAGGAGAGCCACACCTATTTCCCCTGGCATACTTCTGAACAGATGGGCACTTAAGTGGCAGGGCACCAGGATATACAACAAGGATCTAGAGTCTTGGTCACAGAGGACCGGAATCTTTGCCTCAACATCTCAAGCTATTCGTGCCTAAAGCTGTTCTCCACAACCCAGTCAATCACAGTGTTCTGAGAGGAAAGCATCCCTAGATAATAAATACCACGTTCAAGTAATAGTGCAAGCTCTAGTCAGGGGAGGGGTGATCATAAACCCGTTAGAATAGTAAAGGCTCTGAGAAGGCCTGTGGGAAATAGTTACTTCATTTAAATCAGTAATTCCTCCTAAACTTATTTGATCATAACTTTTTTTTTTTCTGGTTGAATCCCTATTGCTCACCTGGGAAAGGTATCAGGGAAGGCCCCGCAGGCTTGTCACAGGTGTGGAGGCTCTAATCCTCACTATTTGGTGTCAGGCACTCGGGGTGCCACAGTGTCTATTCAGGACTGAGTGCCCAGAATCTGGATCTGGGTTTGTTTTTTAATTTTTTAATGTTAAAGACTGCTTCCTGCATTACATTTACATTTTTTAATGTTAAAGACTGCTTCCTGCATTACATTTACATTTTTTAATGTTAAAGACTGCTTCCTGCATTACATTTACATTTTTTCTACATGTATTTTACTCATTTGTGTACTGGGTAGGGGGTGCTGTGGTGGCACAGCACACGTGTGGAAATTAGAAGACAACTTGAAGGAATTGGTTCTCCCCTTCCACCAGGTGCAACGAGGATTGACTCAGGTCATTAGGCTTAGAAGCAAGCACCTGTGTCTGCTCAGCTAACTGGATGGGCCCTGGAATCTATTTGTGAACAGGATAGGATCCCCAAGAGACTGAAGAAAGCTATCTTGAGAAGCATGGCTGTACATCTTCTGTTCCTCCTCCACTAAGATGGCCAATTGGGTCATCTCCCAAGCTGGGAGGGGAGCAAAGCTTCAGGTCCTCTATCCACATATAATTGATGTATTTTGAACTGCACTGTATATTTGGGGAATTCCCCATATGATAAATCCCTTCTTCCCAAAGGGCTTATGAGGGAAACCAAGGCAAACTGCCAGCCACTAATGGGACTTGCTTCTTCTCACACTTAGAAAAGGACTGTCAGGAGGGGGCTGGGAAGCTGGCTCAGTGGTTAAAATGCTTGCCAAACAAGTGGAGGGACCCCAAAACCACGTAAACACTGTATGATATGTTCGTGGCAGTCTACCTTTAATTCCAGCCAGGGAAGGTGGAGACAAGATTCCCAGAGTGAGCTGGTTGGGGACACTAACAATATCAGTGACCTCTGGGTGTGATTGAGAGGCCCTGCCTGCCTCAGTGAGTAAGTTGGAAGAATGAGCAAGAATGATGACCAACACCAACTTCAGACCCAGACATGCATGTGCATATACACACAATTATGTGTACACATAACACAGTGTGTCCACAAACATGCAATACAGTCACACACAAATATAAAGAAAAAAAGACCATTTTTTTAAGACAAAGATTACACAGTTCAGGCTGGCTTTGGATTTATGTGACTGAAGACAACCCTGAACGTCTGGCCCTCCTGCCTCCACTTCACAAATGCTGGAATTCCAGGCTAGTGGTACCACACTCCACTGAAACTGAGGAATTCTTCTAGCTCTACCTGTCCATGCTTTCCTAGATGTCTCTTGCTTAGAGATTCTGACACACTCCTGCCTAGAGGTGGTCTCTTCAGGTACCAACCAGAGTCTCCCTGAGAGCCATGTCCAGCTTTCCCTACATGATCACAGGGTCAAACAGAGTCATTCTTGGTAGTTCTTCCCCCAACCCCTTAGAAGGAAGGGTGAGCCAGAACCTAGGGAGAAGGCATTTTATTAAGGTTTTGCTACATAGATACCTACAGAATGCTGAGACAAGGGATTGCTGAAGGAGCAGCTACTGTCTTCCTCTGCAAAGTCACTAAGAAACTCATTGGAAACAGGTGGGAAGGAGACAATGCCCCCACACTAGGTGGGTAATAGGATGGAGGGAGGAAAGTAGAGGAGAGAGATGCATGAGCAAATGTCACAGGGAGGGATAGGTGAAGACCAATGAGGTCCCGATGCTGAGGAGTCACTGGGTCAGAGCCTGTATCACGTCCTTCACCAGCATGGTGCCAATCACCATCTTCTCACTGTTGACAGTCAGCTGAGCAGGTCCAGCTGGCCGGGCATCCAGAGTCAGCAGGACCAAGCTCCCACTGGTCAGTGTCCTCCCTGCAAACCTGGGGTGGGAGCAGAGGAAAGGGTGGGAGGAGAGCTGCCGACGATGACTGTTTGGAAGTAGCTCAGCCCTAGGGCTTGGGCCCTCCTTCAAGCCAGGCTCCAGCAGAGCCCCTCTCTGCCCCTCTACTAGTACCTGTACTCATCAGATGTCCCACAAGGAACACGACCCAGGTTGGCAGTGGCGGTCACTTTCTGCACCACCATGTGGTCATTCCGACAGGTGTCTGGCAGTGTGAGCTTCTCTGTGATCTCATTCATGCCTGTCAGCTTTCCTGGGGGCAGAGGTCATGATGAGGGCAGAGGCTGTGGTGGACACAAGCTAGCACCTACACCAGCTAGCTGAACATCCTCACCAAGCTCTCCCAGGCTCTGCAGGTCAGAAACATCCTCATCAGCCTTCTATTTGCCCTTTCTCTTTCCTCTGAAGCTTCTCCATTCTCCTCTCATTTCAGGAAACAGACACACTTGCCTGTTTCTCTCACACCATCCATCCTTAGCCAGTAACATCATCATGCCACTGGCATCACTCTGGTCATGCACAAGTCTACCCATTTCTGAGAACTCCTTTCTGAAAGGGAGAGTGTTCCTCAAGCCCTGCTCTCTCCCCATTCATGGCCAAGGTCCTCCAAAGGGTATTCCAAAGGCTCTCTCAAGTCACTGCAACTGTCCTGTCCCTCTTTAGTAACCTGCTCTTTCTGAGGCTGGCATGCCAAATCTGGAAGTGTTTGGTCATTGCCGCCTGCAGGTACCCCACAGCACCTTTCTGCCCTGTCATCTCTCTCTGCTCCCTCCCTTCCCCTTTCTCCTGTAAAAGGCAGGTTTTCCTTACTTGCTTCTCAACCCCTCACCCATGCCACCACTGCCTCTAGGTCAGGGTGATGTCACACACACTCACAGCTGCCATTCCCACCTCTCTGCTTGTGACTCCAGCCTTTAGGTGTTTGCTAAGCACTGACCTATATATTCAATCACACCCAAACACCTCCCCAAATGTACTTCAAAATGGCCTTTCCCCAAGACTAAGCAGGTTCCTCTCTTGCCTGCCTTGTTCTTTCTTCTAGATCAGGGGTATGACAAATTTTAGACTGTAAGTCAAAGGTAGTCCACTACCCAAATGGCTTGCAATTGTTTTGTTGCTTTAAAAAAAAAAAGCATTGGGTGAAAATTCAAGAGAAGATGATCATTTCTTGAAACTTGAAAATTAAACAAAATTTAAATTTCCCAAACTTATAAATAAAATGTTGTTGAAAACACAGCCACATTCATTCAGTTAACTATTCTCTGTGGCTGTTTTATTTGACAGCAGTGGAGCTAAGTCATTACAACAGAGACCACATGACTCTTGAAGCCTTAAACATTTACTTTCTGACACATCACAGTAAACGTTCACCACCTGCTCCAGGTGAAAGGGCACTGCTCATCTCCATGTCAAGCCAGGGATTCTAGAGTCAGACTATGGTCCACCTCTTCTCCCTCTCGGGGCTACTATTTGTAGCTTCCCCTTCCCAGTTGAGGCCAGAGCTGTGTGAAGCTGTGTCTCCTCCCCTGACGTAGTGTTACCTCTTTTGCTTCTTTACTCTTAACTGTGAATATTACCAGGCTGTTCTTTCTGAAGCAGAGGACAGAGCTGTTCTCCTGCTTCCCCAACTCCTCAACTGCCAGAAAATGAAACCTGGTATCTTTTTTCTCCCAGTAACTTCTGGAACCCCTTCTCACTCTGGAATCCTAGGACCAAAAGCCTTTAATAACATTCAGGGCTCCTCAGAACTAGGACAAACATCCCACTTCCAGTTTTGTTCTTAGTGCTCCCCTGTGATAGGGACTCCCATTTCCTAAACAGAATTGTTCCTAACACTTTCCACCATACCTCTGCATGTACTGTATCCCCAACTGGAATGCAGGCCTGGGCTGTGTGCAAGTGGTCCCAAGCCTCACCACATGCCTCAGTCTGTGTGAAGACTTTAGTCAGAGGCATAGGCCACAGGGCCTCTCTCTGTCTAAAGGGCTAAGGCTCCTCCCACGTGTCTGCACAATCTACAACAGGGAGCACTCACCCTGTTCCTTCTTGAACTCATTCTCACTCATGAACACAGGGGCCATCAACTCCCCAACAGGTGGCTGAATGGATACATAGAACTGTCGGGTTTGGGTGCTGGGAAAAGCAAAAGGAGACAGGAGCAGAAATGAGGCCAGCATCCACCTGCCTCATTCCCATCTCACCCTGAGGCAGGGCATAGAGGCAGAAGAGTGAGGTAAGACCTAGGGCTGGGGATGGCAGCCCAGCCCCATAGAACTCGATGTAGCCCCGCCTACCACCCTCTCCACCTCTGGTTCTCTAGGACCCTGCCTCTCTCCATCTGACTCCCTCACCACTACATGAGTTGGGTACATACCACAGCTGGAAGTTGGCTGCCTGGGTGGAGTCACAGAAGTTAATGCCCATCACAGCAGTGGTAGATTCTCCAGGTGGCAGGGACTCTGAGTGATGTAAGGAAAGCAATGAGGGGACAGGAAAGGCCATGATTGTCCTGGAACCCAGTGTGGCTCCAGTCTCTCTCCCCTATCAGAGCAGACTAGCCCTCTGTGGGTTCCAGACTTTCTGAGCCTCTGTATACTTCCCTTGGCTTCCTCTTGAAGCCAAGTACCTTCCCCTCACCCTCTCTCAAATCTGCTCAGTGACCTCATGCCCTAGTAAGAACTTGTTTATTTCTTATTCCACCTTGTCTACCATGGTGTGGGCCATAATAGATGCCACCTCTGTTTCCCCACATCAGGGCACCTGACTTGACCCTAAGATGCTATCAGCAACTACAGAAAGACTGAATCTGACTAGGGGCCTCCTCCTCTACCCTGCCCCAGGCCCTCTGTACCAATTTCAGGAAATTCTTGGATGCTGATGCCAGCAGGCAGCTTGGGAGTGCCCACATGCAGCCCCTTGATGGGAGTCTCAGAGTTGTTGGAGAAGTAGATGTGTATGGACACCATGTGGGGATCCCCAGAGAAAGGCTGGCGGCTGAAGGCATAGTCCACAGCCAGCCCCTCTCCAGCTACCCGGTGCAGCAGCTCCTGCCTCCCAATGCTGGACACTGGACTCAGCAGCTGGAGGGGAGGGGAAGAGGAGGGGAGTGCAGAGATAAGGCAAAGGATAGCCAGTCCCAACTTGTCTTACCTAGGGCCATCCTGAAAAACTTAGATTTAATGGTATCCCAATCTTCACACCCACCTCCTACCACACATGCTCACAGCTCAGGATAGAGCATAAAGCTGAGTCCTTCCCCAACTCACCGAAGGCACCAGAGAGGAGTCTGTGAGTGTCAGGCCCTCCAGGTCAGCGGCCAGACTGGTAGACACAACCATGGGAGGAGACACAGGTTGGACACTAGGAGGGGTAACTGGGAGGGGAAGGGAAGAAAAAAAGATGATTAATAAGAAAGAAGAAATTAGGTTGAAAGGAGTCCAGGGCTCAAGGAGCAAAATTCAGCACCGTGGACAGTGGGAGACATGCCTAGAAACTATGTTGACACAGGACAGACACCCCAGACCTCAGGAACCTGGCCTAGAGCTCCCAGGGTGCCTCCTAAGTCACACTGGGCTTCCTTCCCATGCGATCTACCATCCAAACTCACAGTCCTCTAGGTCAAGCAGGGAAATCTCCTTGGCTACAGGGGCACTCTTGCTGCTGGGAGGCTAAAAGAGAAAAAAAGGGGTGGGGCTATGAGGAAGAGGAGCACCCTGGCCTTCTCTGCGGTGGTGGGAGGCATCACAGTCTGTTCTGAATGGGGGAAGATGTCTGGCCCAGAGGGTAGGAAGGACGTTCTTACTGTTTTCTTCCTCCGGGAGGCAGGTTCAGCCTGCTCCTCCTCCGACTCCGATGTCACCTCAGACTCTGAGGAGCTGCTGCTGGAGTCACTGCCCTCCTCTGATGACGAGCCCTCCCTGTGTCCCTCTGGCACCTTCTTCTTCGTCTTCTTTTTCCCACCTTCCTCCTCACTCTGTTCACTAAAGGAGAGAGGAAATGGGAGACTAAGGTCCAGCTCCCCTTTGTCTCACAGAATAGGGGAAGCCCTGAGAAGCGGGAGTGGGAGTGGAGACCCTGGGCCAGCCGAGCCTGTATCTACTTCTTATACCTCATCCAGAAGATCTTTAACCTAGCTGGAGCCATTTGGGGCCCCAAGCCCCTGGATACCTCTCTGCCGCTCCCATGAGGTCTTTAAAACCTCCTAGACTTTGGCAGTCAGGCAGAGCAACCAGAGATGGAGAATTGGGGATGCAGGCTCCCAGCACCTTGTGGGAAGCTCAGGGCCTCCTAGAGACCTGGATCCCCAAGCCTCCTCCACTTACCTCTCACTGCCTCCTCCTTTCTCTTCATCCTCATCTTCATTGTCTGAGTCACTGCTGGACTCCCCAGAGCCACTCTCACTGCTGCTCTTACTCTCAGACTCACTCTCAGACTCAGGCTCTATAGAGGAAATAAGTCAGGTGAAGCCCCCGCCACCAATAATGAAGGCCCTCCCTACTGCATGTGTAGGCCTTTCTGGGTCTGTGGGAGTTGTTTGGGTTCTCAGCTCCAGCTCAGAACTGAAGCTTTAACTTCATCTGACCTGCCCCAACCCTAGATGCCAACTGAGACTTCAAAAACATGGATGGACCCACACAAATAAATGTCACTTGCACAGCATACACATTTGAGAATGGACACTTGGATTCACACAAGCTGTGATCTGTAAGCAAGTACATGCCCTTGGTTGCCAGCCATAAAAACACACATGTAGAGCATGTTCCGTCACACAGGCATGCACATGGACAAGACATTACAGTCTGTCCTGAATGGGAGGAAGCTCTACCCCTCTGCTCACCACTGTCTGCAGACTCGGTGGGGCCAGACTCCCCCTCGGAGTCAGAGTAGAAAGGCTTTTCTTTCTCCTTCCTCTTCTCCCGATTTGAGCACTTAGTCCATTCTGGTACCTGAAGATGTCATGAGTAGGAGCCATTTCCTCATGGTTGGAGGAGGGGGAAGGAAAGTCCACGCCCTTTGCACCCATCACTACATCTCTCCTTGGTTCCCTACTTGGGCCTGACCCCGATAGAGAAAATGGAGATGTATAGTCCACAGGGAGAAGATTACATGGTTCACAGTCATGACAGCACCCAGCCATGGAGAAAAGGCCTAGGGCACAGCACACAGGGAAAGAGAGGGAGGAGAATACACTGCACACAGAGGGGACCTCAGTATATTCGCCCAACAGGCCCACGTGGGTCTCAATAAGGGAGAGGTCTTCTTCCTGTGTGTGGGGAGGGCATCAGGAGGACTGGGACAGCACTGCCAGGGATCCCTGCTGCTGTCCCTTACCCAACACACACAAATGCATGTGTAATCACAAACACACACATGTACCTCCACATTGCGCACGGATGGGTCTGGGGCTTCCTCTGGCCAGTCTGGGAGCTCCTGGTAGCCTGTAGCCTTTGCATTGAGCAGGTGGGACAATGAGCCCAGTTGGAAATGGTCACGATCTGAAGACAGGTTTACAAGTTAGGCCAGTAGTGACGGTGAACAATGCTTAAGGCAGGGGTACTCGTGAATGGGACTGGCTACTAATTCTGGTGGAGATTCCCAAGCTGGGCAAGGGAAACTGATGGATACACGCCCTGGTGACTCCTGTACTTGACTACACACAGGCCTGCATGCTGGGAAAAAAAGCTTTCTAGTCAGTCCAGAACAGAGACTAAAGAATGTGCACATGGTGTTAAGGGAGAAGGTTCCAGGGTCAGGGATGCTGGCCTGGCTGCTCAGGTATATGTGGGGAGGCCAAAGTGTGAGTGTACCTCCCCTCCTGGGCACAGCCAGGCTTAGGAAGAAATCTAACCTCGGACAAGGTGAAAATGAGGCTGGTCAGGCTAACCAAGGGGGAGGAGACAGGTCTGGTGGGCCTCTGTATTTATTCATGGTGAGGGATAAGCAGTCAGAAATGGAGTGGGAGAATTAGGGTCACAGAAAACAGATAATGTAGGACGGTAACAGAGACATGATTGAGGATGGCTTCAGGGCCGTGCAGCATCCCAGAAGATTTACATCACTGTCCTACCTCAACCCCTAAGACCCAGGGAAGGAAAAAATGCAAAAACACCAGGTAAACCAGGCTCTCACAGGTTAGCCTGGGGGCTTTGGATCCTAGAGCTATATCCCAGAAGATTTACATCACTGTCCTACCTCAACCCCTAAGACCCAGGGGAGGAAAAAATGCAAAAACACCAGGTAAACCAGGCTCTCACAGGTTAGGCCCAGGCTTTGGATCCTAGAGCTAAAGAGGCAGCTAAAGCAACCCTACCTTCCAGGTCACAACTATGAGCAGAGGCTGAGAGCCTGGAGACTGGGGCTTGGGCTGACCTGGAGTGACTGCACTTAGCGTTGACAAGGGCATGCTCAGGATTTTGTTATAATATGGTCCTCTCCTTTGCATGCTCTACTACCTGCCTTCCCAGGTCTGACTGCACTTAGCGTTGACAAGGGCATGCTCAGGATTTTGTTATAATATGATCCTCTCCTTCGCATGCTCTACCTGCCTTCCCAGGTCCTTCGTACTTAACATCTTAGTGTAGAATCCCAAGCCCAAAGCCTGCTCAGGAGGAAGGTGGAAGAGGACCCTAAGTAAGGGAAAGGAAGCAAAAGCCCCATGTGACATGGAGAGCAGGCACTCAAGTGAGACAGAAATAGCTGTGGCTGTGGTGGAGACTGCAGGGAGAATAGCAGACCAGTTCTACACACAAGAGCTTGATACCTGACTAAGGCTTGGGTGAAGGCCTGGGCCCTGGACCTAGCCATTTCCTGCCTTCTCTCTCCCAGGAGGGGTATCCTGGTTCCTACTCCCACCTTTGAAGGATGACTCCAGGATAGGGGCTGGCTTAGGAGCCAGGAAGAGTTTCTTGGCATGGCGGCTGAGGGCTCCACCCTGCTCTGAAGGAACGATGAGCTGCCGGGTGAAGCGGGCTCGATCTCGGATATCATAGTTCTGGTCATACTTGGCCAGACTCAGCACGTACTGGGTCAGGAGCTTGGTCTGAGGAGAGAAGAGAGGGTATTTCAGCAGCTGACAGAGGGTGGTAACCCAGGAGACTTGGAACCAAGGAGAGGAGATTCTCTCTCTTGCTATGTATATCACCCAACTTTCCTCCTAGCTGCCCTGGTTCCAGGCCCTACATTTCAGATTGCTGGCTCTGACTTCTGCCCCCAACTGTCACAGCTGCCTTGGGCCAGCAAGTGAGGTTGCCCTCTCCTCCCTCTTAGTCCCAGAGCCTATTCTTTTCATTTCTTGTCCCTGGTGATCTGGGCCAGTCAACCTCTTCACTCTGGCATATCAGGGTTAGCAGAGGATCAGAACACTGTGCCTCTTTTGATTCCCGGGCTGCACACCCCCTCCAGAGAATCAAGACAATAACGGTCTCTTTGACAGGAACTATCAACACACAGAGCAGATCCTGAACAGCCTGGGGGAGGGGGGGGTCCTCAGAGATCCCAGTCTGTTGAGGAATACTATTTTAAGGTGTGTGACTTTTTTTGTTTGTTTTGTTTTTGTTTTTCGAGACAGGGTTTCTCTGTGTAGCTTTGGAGCCTATCCTGGCACTCACTCTGGAGACCAGGCTGGCCTCAAACTCACAGAGATCAGCCTGCCTCTGCCTCCCGAGTGCTACGATTAAAGGTGTGCGCCACCAAGGTGTGTGACTTTTGTTTATGCTGCATTTGTTTAACTCTTTGAAGCTGTGTTAGTGTGCCTGTCTAAAACACCTGATGGTCCTAATAAAGAGGTAACAGCCATTTCCTGCCTTCTCTCTCCCAGGAGGGTAATCTGGTTCCTACTCCCACCTTTGAAGGATGACTCTAAGATAGGGGCTGGCTTAGGAGCCAGCAATCCATGGGGTAAGAGTAAGATTTACAGAAATAAGAGAACCGAAAAAGCCCAGCGGCAAAAGGTAGACAGACAGGTTAATTTAAAGATAAGAAAAGCTGACTAGAAACAAGCCAAGCTAAGGTTAGACATTCATAACTAAGAATAAACTTCTGTGTGTGACTTACTTGGGAGCTGGGTGGTGCCTCCCCCAAAAAAAGCCAAAAGAGAAAAACAAAAACAAAACAACCAACAATACCAGTCTGCCCACTAGACAATTCTAACAAGATCAAAATGGCTCTGCCTCTGAGGTTTGCTAAGGTCATGTAGAGTCCACAATCTACAGCTATATCTGAGGACCAAAAGTCTCAGAGACTGTCCCAGTCTTGGCCTAGTCTAAGCTGCCTCCACATGATGGCAGTGGTGGCTGCCATCATTTACTAAGGACTTTCTGGAGCTAAGCACTGTTCCAGATGTTCCCCACTCTCCTGTCATCTCTACAATCCTGAGAGGTAGGAACCATTTCCTCACTTCCAAGAGAAATAGAATCCGGAAGTGGCTTCTTCAAGGTTGAGAGCCCATCTCAGGGCTCTCAGGTCTGGATCAGAGGCCCATCTGTCCCCTCCTGTCATTGCCTATGCCTTTGACCCAGATCTCTGTGTCTCTTTCCTGTGACCAAGACCAAAATCACCAAATAGCTAACACTAGAGTGTGTGCAGGTGGTAGACAACAGCAAGACAGAACCCAGGAATGACTCTGGGATTCTGAAGGTTTGTGATGATACAGTATCACAACCAACCTTAGACATGCATGACTAGTTTGCTAACCCTGCTGGCCATCAAGTAGACCTCTGAGAGAGGTAGAGATTTCCAGAATCAGAGCTGCTGTTGTGGCAGAACTGCCCACATTGCTTTAGGGACCACTGTGTCTCCACTCTTACCTATACCATGTCCTCCATGGACTCTGATGCCTCACAGTTCAGCCCCTCCAGTACAGCACCATCTATGACTCCACCCCCCAGATTCTCCCAATACAACGGAGTCAGAAACATGAACACAGGATGCCACTGCAGTGGACCTCAGCACAGGCCTACCTTTCCTGTCTGACCATCTGACCAGCCAAAATCGGTCAACATGATATTAAGATGCAGCAGCCTATCTGTCTCCCTCTCCTTCTAGTTTAGGTCAGCGTCGTCTTCCATAGGCTTCACAGGTGGCTGTTAACAGACTGTTTCCTTCCCTTGCCTTGTTCTAGAAAGAACATTGAAGGACTGGATCCATCTGTCCACAGTCCTGATCCCATCTCAACAATCAAGACAAGAGGCTGGTCCATGCACCACGACACTACAAGACTGTCACCTTTGCTCACTCTAAAGAGCTAGTATTCACACAATCCAACCCCAGGACCCCACCTCACCTAGCCACAATGTACTAAAATTGTAGGCTGTGATGGTTGGAGAAATGGCTCAGAGGCTAAGAACATTGGCTGCTTTTCCAGAGGACCTGGGTTCAGTTCCCAAGACCTACATGCTAGCTCACAAACATTTCTAACTCAAGTTCCAGGGGATGTGATGCCCACTTCTGACTTCCATGGACTCCTGCATGTATATGGTGTGCATAAAAATATACATGCACACACACAAGCACATACACATACAAACACATTTTATATATGTACCTTATATATACAGGCACATAAAAACATATTTCTTTTTAGATTAGGCTGTTGAAGAGAAGAACCTACAATGCAAGTGTTAGTATACCAAAAACTCCTATTGACCAAGGGGTCCAGCTGCCAGGGAAGAACACTATGGGACACTCTCAATAACCTGTGTTAACTTTCATACTAACTTGCACCCAAGCAGACTAATCAAAAAAAAAAAAGTTAAAATACAACCTCTCCTGAATACTATATAAATTCTTTTTTTAAAAGATTTTATTTATTTATTATGTATACAACATTCTGCTTTCATATATATCTGCACACCAGAAGAAGGCACCAGATCTCATTACAGATGGTTGTGAGCCACCATGTGGTTGCTGGGAATTGAACTCAGGACCTCAGGAAGAGCAGTCGGTGCTCTTAACCTCAGAACCATCTCTCCAGCCCCCTCTAGAATCTAGAATTTAACATCCATCCCTGCTTCCTAATGTTTGTACTTTGTGTAATCACCTTGCTTTGGTGTAAGCAAGGCCTGAGACTTTGGAATGTGGCAAAGGTACTGTGTTGCTAGTACGGAGACTCTAGAGACTTTGTCCCTTGTGGCTTAGAAAAATTAAGTGGCCACATTGGGAGGCTCATATGGAAGGAACTAAAGACAGCCTCTAAAGTTGAGAGTAGTCTCTAGCTGACAACCAGCAAGAAGTCAGGGCCTTGGCTCTATACCACAAGCACTGCTGGCCTTATGTGATCTGGGAAGTGACCCTGACACTGTGTGAGCTGGGAAGTGAACTTATCCTCAGCACAACCTCCAGGTGGAAACCCAGCCTTGGCCTACACTCCCAGGACAGTCTTGCATAAGACCCAACTGAATCACACCAGGTTCTTGACCCATAAAAATGAAAAAAAAATCATTTTGTTATCTTAAGCCACTAAGTTGATAGTAATTTATTATGAAGCTATGGAAATCTTAAAGGATTAAAATGTAACATCACGATGACTGTACCTAAGGCTCAGAGAACATCTAGGAAAGAGGATGAATGAATGAATGAATGAATGAATGAATGAATGAATGAATGCATACACATGTAGTTAGCAGTGATGACTATCCAGAGTTCTAACACTTGATGGTCCTGCCTCCCTTGCTTGAGTCCCTGGGGCTAACACTAGCCACTGTGATTCAAAAAAAGCCAGTAAAGAAGTCAATTATCACCCAGGTGTGATGGCTCACACACAAGTAGTGGCTGCACTTGGGTGGCAGAGGAGCGAGGATCTCTGTGATTATGAGGTCAGCCTGGTCTACAAAGTGAGTCCCAGGACAGCCAGGACTGTTACACAGAGACCCTGTCTTGAAGAAATGAAGAAAAAGAAGGGGCGGAAGAAGAGTAAAAGGAGAGAGGGTGAGGAGGAGGAGGAGGAGGAGAGGAGGAGGAGGAGGAGGAGGAGGAAAGAAGTCAAAGTCATTGTCAATTGTCACCACCTACCATGACAGTGACAACTGTCATATGGTCAGGCCCAAGCTTATAAAAGCACAATGGCTTCAGGGCCCTGGCTTAATTCTGGGCATGTCACACTCCCCACTACTGGAGCACTGATTGTGCCTTTTGCTTGGTTTGCCTCCTTCAGCTGTTGGGGATTGAACCCAGGGGACCAGAGTTTCCTGCATGCTAAGCACATGCTCTATCACTGAGTGACACCTCAGTCCTGCTTCATTTTTCCAAGTGCTCCTCCAACCCGCTCCTCCAACCTTCCAAACAAGACAGCACACACACATCTGCTTCCCTGTGCTGCTCGCTCCTCCAGACTGATGCCCCACAACACTGATACGCACAGACCAAGTACTTCACTGCCCCTGCATGTAGTTACTGCCCGTCCTAACTGACTCCTGACCAGAGTCCTGGCACTTGGAGGCCCAGCCTATCCCAACTTGAGTCCTCAGACTCATGCCAAGCACTGTGAATCAAAGGAATCAGTAAAGATGCCATGTGCTGTGATCCTAAGATTGCCAAAGGCTGGCAAAAGAGCCACCTTTAGGCTACACTGTGGTCTCAGGCTATAGCTCTACTGTAGACCTGATCCATACATCCAGATATTTTGCTTCAAGGATCTGAAAACGTTTTCTGCAAAGGGCCAGAGATTTTTAGGTTTTTATAGGCATGCACACTGTTTCAAGGTAGTCAGCTCTACCACTGTAGCACAAATACACCCATACATAATATGTAAACGAACATGCTCCAATTGAAATATTTGTTAAAGCAAGCCACAGGCTAGGTTCAGCCTATGGGCAGCAGTTTGCCAATGCCAGTATTGCTGAACTCTCCTCTTGTTTGGAATCTCCATCTCCTTGAAAAGTTCTGCACATTCTGCCTTATTCTTAGAATTCGCTAGCGCCATCTCAGGGAACACTGGATAACCAAAGGCTCTAAGCACCACGATATTCTAGCTTACTTGAGCCCCATCCTTGACTATAATATTTCTCATAATCTTTTACCTTTCGAAAGGGACTGGTTGCCAACACCTCCCAGGCTAGAACACAGCCTTAACAGACAGGCCAGACATCACCAAGCTTTGCCCTGGAATACATATTCTCCCATCAATGCCCATCACTGCCAGCCCTCCCTTAGCTCAATCAGCACAGGCACCTCACAGCCCATGTTCCAAAGATGACGGATAAGGTCTCTCTAACATCAAGACATGAGCCTCACAGCCTCACAAGAGACTCTCTTTAATGGTGACTCCACTGGAGTCCCAAGAATAACCATGGGCACTGAAGTGGCATTGGTGACTTGGCAAGACTAGTCACCTGTCCTAATATGCCTTTTCAGAAGAGTCCAGGCCTGCTGGAGAGAGTCAAAAGAATGCTTCCTGTGGCAGCTCTTGGGGTCTAGAGAAAGCTAGTGGGGACATCTCTCACTCCTCACCTGCTTTGAGTTGGTCAGGTAAAGCTTGGCCGCCAGGTTGATGACCTGCAGCTTCACGATGTCCTCCTCTGCTGTGAATGACTTGGCCATTTTTCTCAAGACATCAGGTGCAATCTTAGGCACATGCTCACAGTACTCTCCAATGAGCCAGAGAATGCTGGCTCGTGCCATGGGCACCTGTGGGTATAAACAGGTGTTAGGACTACAGGAAACAGATTGGTGAGGGTAGGATGAACTGCCAAGGAAATGGCTGCTATCTATGCTGGCCTACTGTCTTATAGGTGTCCGAGGATGGGGGCAAAGGGGTAGAATAGGTTCAAAGGTGGGCATTTATAAATGCCACCCCATATTCCACATGGTTTCATTATCATGGGTAAAGCTGCCAAGCTGTAAAGTCAACCACGGTTTTCTAGATTTACTTTTGTACCACCATGTCAGTATTCCTGAATCTCCAGTAATGAAAATAGGTATATTTCAACTCTTCAATGCAACAGAAAAACAAGGGATTAAACAATCACCCATCCTTGGTGAGAACTATGGCGGAAAATAAAGAGTGGTAGGAAAAGCTGAAGAGCTCTGTAAGGGAGCCCCACAGGGATAATCTTGGACAACAAGGTCACACAGTCCAATCGTTCTCCTTGTACCTAAAGAACTTCCAAAGTTCAATTTGGAAGCTGATTGGGGTGAAGCTAAAGCATTTGGCTACAGGGTCTTGAAGTAAAGGTCAGAGCTAGAAAGATGGCTTAGAAGTTAAGATCACTTGATGATCTTGCAGATGACACAAGTTCAGTTTCCAGCACCCATGCTGGTTGGTGCACAACTGCCTGTAACTCCAGCTCCAGGAAATCTGAAGCCTCTGACCTCTGCAGGCACTGGCACTCACATGCATAAACCCATCCCCACTTCACAACACACATAATTTAAAGCAAAAGAAATCTTTAAAAAGAAATCGTGGGGGCAATGTTGGGGCAGGCTGGGAACACAGCATTGCTCTCTCACCTGGATGTTGTCTGTGAGCTTGGCCAAGTGTTTGATGATCTCTCCATGCTGCGCTGGCTGCATCTGCAGCAGCTTCTTAATGACCACCACTGACTCTGCAACCACAAGCTCTAGGGAATGAGAATGAGAACTTGAGCCCAAGAACAGTTGGATGGCCACACCAAGGTAGACAGGCACACCTGCAATGCCCTTGGTGGTCCTCTTCCTCAGCCCCCTGCACTCCTCAAGCAGCCCTCCAGTTACAGCAACACCTGGACACTATCACACACACACACACACACACACACACACACACACACACACGGGAAAACCCATTGGCCAGCAGGGTCAGACATGCAGGGACACATACACCATCAAGGACGAACACTTCTCCAGGCAAACACTGACCATCACGGTTGGACAGAAGCTGCACCAAGCCATTGAGGCAGGTATCACGGACTCGGCCTATGTTTGTTGCACATCGTCCAATGGCCTGGATCGTGGCTGCAACAAAGTCTTTGTCCATGCTGCGAATGTAGGTCTGTGGGACATCATGACACAGGAACATCCAGTAAGTAGTGACCCCACAGTGAAGAGCTTAAAAGTGACCTTCATGTAGGCTAAAACTGTAAACCCTCATTTTACATCCATCATGCCACAGATTAAGTCTCGGATTATGACATCTCCAAACCACATTGAGGGAGTTCTCAGCCCAAAGCCAACAGAAGGCACTGAAAGGGGTACTTAGGCAACAGTTTCTACAGTTTGGGGCTCTTGCCAAAAATGAGAGTGATCAGGCCAATTCTCACTGGGTTCAAGGATCTATTGGGCTCCTCTCCTGGGAGCTGCTGCCTGGAGGTTAGCCCATGGCTTGTACCTGAAATTCCCGTAGAACTGTGGGGATGTTGGTCTCATTGGCCAGGTTGGTCAGCACTTCCAGCTGCAGGGAGAGGTGGAGGCAGAAAGTGACCAGTGTGGCCAGCAGGTTTTCTGAGCTTTATTGTAAACAGACTTTATGGACTAGAAAGTAATACTCAGGACAGTTCTGCACATGCTCAGAGTATATGGAAATGCAAGATCATAAACCTTCAAAACACAGGAGGATCAATTTGCCTCCTCAATAAGGTCCCCAACAAAGAATAGGTGAAGTAGGGTCATGTCACTTTCTTCATCCACAGAAAGCTATTCCTTTAAGGATAGAAACCAGGGATGATCTGAAGGTTTCTGGACCTGACCACTCTTCCTGCTTCCTGCCTCAGAGTCTTTGCAAAGGCTATTCCATCTGTATGGAGCAGTTCTTCCCCTTTCTGACCCTGAAATTACTTAGGTAATTAACATTCATTTACCAGGTCTCAGTTTAGACTCCATCTTATCAAGGAAAGCTTCCTTGATCCAAATGATGGTAGCCCTATTCTAATTTTATTTATTTTCTGCCCATGTTGTTTTGTCTATGCACCATGTGCATGCAGTGCCTGCAGAGGCCAGAAGAGGGCATTGGATTCCCTGACCAGATTCACTAGATGCCTCCCTACCAGAGTAAACAAGAGCCACCATGATCAGGGAAGCATGCAAAGACTGAGACCAGACCACCTGCCTGGGAGAAGCAGAAACCGCCCAGTGGCCTAGAAGAGCTGTAGACCAACTGAGTCACTTGGAAAGAACATTCTCCAATTTGTTAAGCTAGCTGCAGGCCGTGCAGTGTGCTCCAGGTTCCCAGCTTTTGTGAGCTGTCACTCATGCGGGGGTGGACCTTGGTGATGCAGCTATCTTAGTCATTTGTGCTCCTGTAAGTGCTCCATACTCTTGCAAGTAACCCCAGTAAAACTTATTGGTTTACCCAGTTGGACTTTAGTGGTATCTGAACCTTGACTTGTGGGATCCCTATCTAGGATGAGTAGATATATTCTGCATCTCCCCAGAAAGTTTTGTTCCACGACACAAGCCAGAGGCAGTTCCTCACCACCTGAACAAACACCTGCAGCCTAGAGATGGGCTCAGCTCCAGAAAGTGGCAGGCACCATTGTGACCAGTATTAGTTAGCCCAGCTGGTATTCAACCAGGTGGTGAGCAGGAATCCGAGGCCATGCACTGTCCTGCACTTACCTTCAGGATCTTGATCTGGGTGGGATCCGTAGACCTAATGTAGAAGCTCTTCAGGTAGGGTTCAAACATGCCCTGGCAAAAGAGAGCATTCCTGGGGATCTCGACCACAGCCCTAGATTTGTCTCTTCCAGAGACATCTGTCCCTTCCAGCACAGGCCTCATGTCCCTTAAGCCTCAACCAGCTCATCCCTGCCCCATGTTCCCTGTCCACCTTAGATCTGACTTATTCTTCTCATGGGGCACACACACACACACACACACACACACACCATGGCCTCTTCAGGATCTAGACCCTGCTCTTGGTTTGCATTTGGGGGGTCATTAAAACTTACACCCTCAACGGGGTAATTCCCCTATTTTTATGGGCATCCCTCTTCATTCCACCCTAATTCCCTTGTCCTCTATGCTCCCACCCTCTGTCCCAACAGCTTCCTCAGAGCCCACAGAATCCAGAGCGGGCCTTGAATGCATGCTTACCCGGCGCTTGATGGACATGGTGGCCACATTCTGGAGCACTACGTACTGCACCTCACTGTGGAAGAGATGGGTCAGAGGGTTCTGAACCCCTCAATTGCAGGGAGGGCAGTGGGTTGGGGAAAATAGGTTGGCCAAAGAGTTGGGAGGAAGGAACTTTTGGGAGAAGGGTGGGCTCGGACTGCGGAGGGGGCGGGGCTTCCCGCACCTGTGGCTGCGCAGCAGGCGTACTAGCGCCTTGGCGATGACGCCCACCTCCGCCTTGGGCGCAAGGTGGAAGTAAAGCTGGGCTACTGCCATGACCACCGCGGCGCTGCGGCTCTGCAGCAGGGGCTTGGTGTTGCGCAACAGAAGCCGGTGATCCGGGTCCATTACATAGGGCTTCCGAGCAGGCAGCGCAGCAGTGGCTGCCTCCTCCGATCCAGGGCCTTTGGCTTCATCCTCCTCGGAGCCATAGAACGCCTTCTCGGGGTTCTCCTCCAGCAAGGACTCCTGAAGGAACACGGCCGGGCGGGTCTGTGGGCGCCTTCCCTGGAGGACCGCCCTCCCCTCCACAGGACTGGAGCCCCGAGCTCACGTTCTGCGTGGGGCTCAAGAACTGTGTGCGCGCATAGCGCGTGAGCATGCTGATGATCACCACCTGGCCCCACTCTTCCACGTCAATGAGTAGGTTACAGAGCTTCCGGTAGTTTTTGTGAATCAGGTCAATACGCTCTGGACAGACCTCCTCAAAGGCCATCACTACACTGCCAGCCACCAGCTGGGGAAGCAAAGCAAGAGGATGTGAATGGGAAGGGTAGAAGAATTTGAACCAGCGTCTGTCTGTTCCCTTCCCATCGCTTGTCCTGTCTTCCCATAATGCACCCACCGTGGTCTTGTCTGCCAGAAGCTTCTCAATGACTTCTATCAGCTGGTCCTTCTGATCAGAGTCCAAACTGAGAGAGAAACAATATGTCTCTTCCTGTCCCCAGGCTCCCCAACAGCTGCCCCAGCCAGGCTCACCTCAGGCACACACACCCACTTATTAAGAGATGTGAGCCCCCACCTTTGGCCTGTATTTGTCAGATCCCTAAACTGTCTAACGCCAGATGAGTAGCAGTCTGCATGACTGTGGTGAGGTCAGGGATGAGCTGGGGGCTTAGGAACCCAGGGCCCTGGAGGACAAAGGGCAAAGGTGGGGCACACCTGTAAAGTTTGGGGATGGCATGAGCAGCTGTTTTCCGAACGTAGGGTGACATATCCGAGGCAGCTTCCTTGATGGCTAGCATCATGATGGGTACTATGATGGGGACGCGGATGCTAGAAAGGACACGGAGGGCACTGGCACGGATCAGCTGGTTGGGATCCTAAGGGCAAAAGTGGAGACACAGGCCTGAGAGGGCATTAGGTCTCCTAATGGGAAGATCAGACATTATTCCTGGCTATTACCACCAGATCTTGCTTCCCTGCCTTTAGAGGAGGGGTTGGGTAGCTGTGAAAGGAACTCTAGTGTCCTGTAACAGTTTCATTTGAGATTGAAACATTCTGACCTGTGGAGAAGCTCCGTATCTTCCAGAAGACTCTGAAACTAACCAGATTCACTAGACCCCCTACCTACCAGACAGAGGAAACAATACAAACTGAGTCTCTCTCTCGGTCTAAAAGAAGCCTCGGAGATCAGAGGAGCTAAGCTACAAAGTAGACTCTCAGCCAAGCAAGCTGCAAAGACTGAGACCAGACCAGCTGACTGGGAGAAGCAGAAACTGTCCAGTTTGGGGCTGGAGAGATGGCTCAGAGGTTAAGAGCACTGGCTGTTCTTCCAGAGGTCCTGAGTTCAATTCCCAGTAACCACATGGTGACTCATAACCATCTATGCTGAGATTTGGTGCCCTCTTCTGACCCATAGGCATACATGCAAGCAGGCAGAACACTATAAATAAAGAATAAACAAAACAAAACAAAACAAACTGGGATGTTTGTGGCGCATGCCTTTAATCCCAGCACCCAGGAGGCAGAGGCAGTTGAATCTGTGAGTTCGAGACCAGCCTTCAAGATCTAGTTCCAGGACAGCCTCCAAAGCCACAGAAAAACCCTGTCTTGAAGAAGAAGAGAAAAGAAAAGAAACTGCCCAGCTGCCTGGAAGAGGTGTAGAGCAGAGTCACCTAGAAAGGACACTTCAACCTGTTGACCTGTCCGCAGACTGTGCAGTGTGCTCCAGGTTCCCAGCTTTTGTGAGCTGTCATGCTCACAAAAGCTGTCATGCTGGGTGGACCTTGGTGATGCAGCTGTCTTGAGTCATCCGTGCTCCTGTGAGTGACCCCTCACCCCCAGTAAAACGAATTGTTTCACCCAGTTGGACTTCAGAGGTGTCCGTACTTCAGTCTGTTGTGGACTCCCTATCTGGAGTGAGCAGATGCGTGTGTTGCCTCTCTCCAGGAAAAGTTTTGCCAAACATCACATGAGGGCACCACCTCTTGGCTCTGGGTGCTGAAACCTGACACATAAACATGCATGACAAGGAGCAGCTTTGTGTGGGAAAGCATGGAAAACTTCACACTCATCTTGGGAGTCAGCATCTGTCTGTGGCTGCAGTGCCTCCAGGAAACACAAGCTGCTCTCCCACAGTTCACCTTGCCACACCTCTCGCCCAGTAGCCCATCAAAAGTTGCCCTTCTTCTCCAGTATTTAGAACCCGTGTGTGGGTTTCTCCTGTTCAGACGGCATCCCATCCATGTCTGCTAACAGCATGCACTCTACGGCTACAATCTCAGAGCTTAGCCCTAACTTCCCACAGTGGCAGTAAACCAGAGGTTCTCAACCTGTGGGTCACAACCCCTTTGGAGGCCAAATGACCCACAGGGGTCACACATCAGATATCCTGCACAGCAGATATTTACATTATGATTCATTTTTTAAAAAATTTTTATAGATTTTATTGTATTTATATTTTATGTATGTGGGTGCTTTGCATGTATACCTGCAGGCCAGAAGAGGGCACCAGATCTCATAATGGATGGTTCTGAGCCATCATGTGGGTGCTGGGAATTGAACTCAGGACCTCTGGAAGAGCAGCCAGTGCTCTTAACCTCTGAACCATCTCTCCAGCCCTAAATTACAATTCATAACTAGCAAAATTATAGTTATGAAGTAGCAATGTAAATAATTTTATGGTTTGGGGCACCACAACATGAGGAATTGCACTAAAGGGGTGCAGCATTAGGAAGGTTGAGAACCACTGCTGTAAACAGATAGATACTCATCCTGCAGAATGGCAGATAACAAGAGTGCTGGAACAATAAAGGAAGACAGATGCCACCCTGATTTCTCAACTGGAGAAGAAAAAACACAAAACCAGGTGTGAAAATGATGGTAATCCCTGGCAAAATTTTGGAATTGATTTTTAGTAGTTTAGTTTAAAAGCATTTTTTTGGGGGGGGGGCATTCCAGACAGGGTTTCTCTGTATTGCTTTGAAGCCTGTCCTTGAACTCGCTCTGTAGACCAGTCTGGCTATGAATTCACAGATATTCGCCCACCTCTGCCTCCTGAGTGCTGGGATTAAAGGCATGCACCACCAATGTCTGGCTAAAAGCATTTATTTAAAAAGCAGGAGCCTGTATTTTCTTAGACAAATTGTTTCACGTCAACCATTAAAACCTGCTGGTGACTCCAGCTAAGCCTCCTAGCAATAGTGGATACATAGCCTGAACTGGCCATCTCCTATATGTAGATTGGTGCCTAGCCCAATTGTCATTGGAGAGGCTTCATCCAGCAACTAATGGAAACAGATGCAGACCCACAGCCAAACATTAGGTGGAGTTTGGGGAATCCTGTGTGTGTGTGTGTGTGTGTGTGTGTGTGTGTGTGTGTAGGAGCCAGGGGCGTCAAGGTCATCACAGAATCAACTAATTGTGGCATCAAGAAAACTCACAGAATCAACTTCTTGGGCTCATAAGTGTTCACAGAGACTGAATGGACAACCAGGGAGCCTTCATGGGACTGACCCAAAGTCTTGTGGGACTCCTAAGAATGGGAGCAGGGTCTGTCTCTGACTCTTTTCACTTTGGGGACCCTATTCCTCATATTGTGTTGCCTTGTCCAACCTTAATATGAGGAGAGGTGCTTAGTCTACCTGCAACTTGATATGCCATGTTTTATTGATACTCATGGGAGACCTGCCCTTTTCTGAATAGAAATGGAGGAGGGGTGGATGGGGCAGGACAGGGGTAAGGTTGGGGAAGGGGCTGGGAGAAGAGGGAGGGGAAACTGCAGCCAGGATGTAAAATAAATGAATAAATACATTTATTTTTAAAAGATTGGCCTACTTTATTTTACCATTTTTCTTTCGAAAACAATCATAGGGACAAAAAAATCTGTTTTCATTTTGGGAGAGTTAACTAGGCTGGAAGATGTTAGCACTATGGCTCTTGATTTCAGCAAGGCACTCTGGGAGTCTCTTATAACACTTCCGGCATAGCCTTTGGCCTTACATAATCATGTAAGCATTTTAGGAGCAGAATTTGGGCCTATTTTATCTCTGTATCATCATAGCCCTTTTCACGTGAAGGGTATTAAATTCTTTTCTCCTTGCTTTCAGGATCTTCCAAAGTATGACAGAAAAATACTGGCTGACTATACAGTTCTATGGATCCATAACTTAATAAAACCTAGCTGGGAAAGATTTATTAACAAAGCATTGATAACCTGGAAACACTATATGCCACACACTCCAAGATGATGCCCTGGTTCAAATAACCTCTCAGTACCTTGGAGGGAAACAGAAAGTTAAGGGACAAAGTTAAAATTCAGAGCCTTGCACTGGGGGTGGTGGTGTGTACATTAAGTTCCAGTTACAAGAGAAGTGAGGCAGGACTACATGTTTCAGGCCATTCTAAGCAACTTAGCAAAACTGTGTCCTAAAACAAATAAAAATAAAAAGGCCTGAGGATGAGCCAGAAAAGATTGTGCACTGAGCACGCAGGAGACTGAAGGAGAATTGTGAGTTACAGGCTAGCCTGTACTACACAGCAAGTTCCAGCAAGGCCCTGTCTCCAAAAACCAAAACAAAAAGAGTATGGGGTGTGTGTGTGTGCGTGCGTGCGTGCGTGCGTGCGTGCGTGCGTGTGTGTGTGTGCTGAGGATGTAGCATAGTGGCAGAATGCTTGTCTAGCAGGTTTGAGGGCCTAGGTTCAAGCCCCAGCACTGCACTGGATCCTGGATTACAGATTCTGTGAAACTAATTAAATAAAACTTAGTGTTTCACCGAAGAACAGAAGATCCTAGGGGTCACCCACAGAGACAGAATGGCAGAAGTCTAGATTATCTGTTTGCTAGCCACAGGGTTGAAAGAGAAGTGTGCTGAACAGAAAAAGAAAAGAAAAACAAACAGAAATATGGCTTCAGGATAGCTGATAAGAAGAGAACCTGGACATACACAATGTTCTAAGACAGTCTGAAAACCCAGTAATTAAACAAGAAAACTCGCCGGGAGGTAGAGGTACATGCCTTTAATCCCAGCACTCAGAGCCAGAGGCAGGTGGATCTCTGTGAATTCAAGTTCAGCCTGATTTACAGAGTGACTTCTAACACAGCCAGGGATACAAACAGAAACCCTGTTTCAAAAAGAAGAAGAAGAAGAAGGAGAAGGAGAAGGAGAAGGAGAAGGAGAAGGAGAAGGAGAAGGAGAAGGAGGAGAAGAAGAAAACTCTGTTTATATAATGAAACCATTTAAAAAACAGTATTACATCATTTAGGAATGCACAACTGAGCAGCAAAAGAATAAACACATGGACCAGTGAGACGTCTCAGAGGGTTAAAGCACTTGCCACCAAACCTGATTCTCTTGAGTTCAAACCCTTGGATCCACATGGTGAAAGGAGATCTTCTGATCTCCACTCCTGCTTGCCCGAGCAAAAAGTCAATATAATTTTTAAAAAGAATAAACATGGAGGCAAAGGCAGGCAGATCTTTGTGAGTTCGAGGCCAGCCTGGTCTCCAGAGCGAGTGCCAGTATAGGTTCCAAAGCTATACAGAGAAACCCTGTCTCAAAAAACCAAATAAATAAATAAATAAATAAACATATACTTATGAAAAGTAGGGGCGATACATAGGAGCCTACACTTAAAACATATTTTTAAGAATTACAGCTACAAGTGAGGTGTGGTGGTGCATGCCTTTAATCCCAGCACTCCGGAGGCTGAGGAAGGCAGATCTATGTGAGTTCAAGGCCAGCCTGGTCTACAGAGTGAGTGCCAGCACAGCCAGGACTGTTTCACAGAAAAAAAACAAAAACAAAAAACCCTGTCTCAAAAAACAAACAACAAAAGAATTATAGCTACAGAAGTTTCAGCATAATATAATGGTTAAGAAAGAAACTCAAGAGCCATGTATAACTGTCTTAAGACAGGGTAAGGGTCCTGAGTAAATTGGGAACATGCCAGGTAGGGTGGAAGGGGAAAGGGGAGCAGGAAAGGGGAATGAGGAAAACTGTATAACTCAATAAAAAGATAAAATTAGGAAAAAAAAAAGATAGGGTAAGGAGGTATTGCATATAGCTTTATGAAGGAGTATGGGCCTTTTACTGAAGATTGATTGGGATGTTCAACAATAAAGGCTGCTAGGCCACAGAACTCAGGACATTTCTATTAGCTGCCTTTTTTTTTGTATTTTGTTTTGTTTTTCTTTTTCAAGACAGGGTTTCTCTGTGAAACAGTCCTGACTGTCCTGGAACTCTCTCTGTAGACCAGGCTGGCCTCAACCTCACAGAAATCTCCCTGAATCTGTCTCCTGGGTGCTGGGATTAAAGGTTTATACCACCACCACCTGGCCTATTTTTTAAAAATAAAGATTTATTGGAATAAACTATGTTCACTTTTTTAAACATAAAATCTAGTAAATGCATGGTTGAGACACTACAGCCTACAAGACCTAAATACAATCTGAACAGTTTACAGTTTACTGACAACTGTTCTAGAGTTGTGTTTGTTTTTTGTTTTTTGCTTTTTGCTTTTTTTATTTTTTCATTGATTTGGGCCAAAAGAGCCCAAGTTTTCTTAAGCAGGAGATCAGATTGTACAAACAAGAAAATGCAAAATTCGCACTACAATTTCAGAATAACTCTTATAAAATAATTTAACCTTAATTCAAACAAAGTCTACTTAACAATCAGAGATGGAGACCATAGTTTTGACTTGAAAGGCCAATCTAGTATTTATATGACATAAAGACACTGAAGCTAGGCCAAGCAGTGGTGGTGCTCGCCTTTAGTCCCAGCTCTCAAGAAGAAGAGAGGGGTGGATCTCTGTGAGTTCAAGGCCTACCTGGTCCGTAGAGGAAGTTCCAGAACAGCCAAAGCTACACAGAAAATCCCTGTCTCGGAATAAATAAATAAATGAATGAATGAATAAATAAATAAACAGATAAATAAATAGACAGGGGGCTGGAGAGATGGCTCAAAGGTTAAGAGCACTGACTATTCTTCCAGAGGTCCTGAGTTCAATTCCCAGCAACCACATGGTGGCTCACAACCATCTACAATGAGATCTGGTACACTCTTATGGTGTGCAGATATACATGGAAGCAGAATGTTGTACACTAAATAAATAAATAAATAAATAAATAAATAAAATCTTTTAAAAAATAGACAGATAAATAAATAAATAAACGACACTCAAGCTATTTACTAGTTAATGTACATACGAATAACATGCTTCCTACCCTGCCCTAAGAACAGACTGTCAAACAGCCCTTCTGCCAGCACAGCAGACAGAACCAGAGCTGAGCCCCAGAGGACAGCTACAGAACTGCTGGACTACAATAAGATGAGGTGTATCTCTAGATCAGTCCCACAGAAATCTCAACTGAAAGTATAGATAGAAGGGCATTAAAAATCATAACCAGAGCTTTAAAAAGAAAGTCTGGTAGAGAGAGGAGGCTGCCTGTATGCTCACTGAGGGAATCTTAAGCCAACCAGCAAAACACCAAGAGAGAATTCCACGTGAGCTCATGAATTCAAACCTTAGCCCTGTATGGAAGGAAAAAAGAATGGGGGACATTCATAACTTAAATTTCAATAGGGTTCACCCCTCCTAGAGAACTTGACTCTTCCCACTGTCCCTCCATTTAAATGATTTCAATTTCTGTCTAGCTCAGATTTCATTCTGCAGGAATAGATGTGATCTGGGTATTTAAAAAGTGATTGTTTTTTTAATACTCTGTGCATCTAAGACAGGACAGTGACCCCCTACGCTGAACAGAAGAAAGACTGGTTCTTTCCAACTCTAGAGTCACCAGCTGTATAGAACATATAGAGAATGGGATTCCAGGGTCAGTTTGGGCAGGTGTTTCTGGTCTCCTGCAGTGACCTTAGCAGCCAGCCTCCCAGGGGGAGAACAGTCTCCTGCATAGGAAACTGCATAGGTTTTCTTCTCACTGGTTCTCAGCAAAACCTGTCTTCCCTTGCAGGTTGAAGGCAAAAAGGTTCTTCAAGTCACTGATGTCTACAGATACCAGAACCAGGAGAGCCTGTTATGGAACATTATTTTAAGGTGTGTTATATTTGTTTATTCTGTGGAATATTTGTTTTGATGATGCAAAGATGTGTTGCATTTTTGGGGGGGGGTTGAAACCCTCCCCCACAGGGTTTCTCTGTGGCTTTGGAGGCTGTCCTGGAACTAGCTCTTGTAGACCAGTCTGGTCTCGAACTCACAGAGATCCACCCGCCCCTGCCTCCCAAGTGCTGGGAGTAAAGGAGTGCACCACCACCACACAGCTGATGTGTTGCATTCTTTTGTGTTGCATTTCTTTAATTCTGTGAAGCTATGTTACTTTGCCTGTCTAACATACCTGGTTGGTCTAATAAAGAGCTGAACGATTGATCAATATCGGGGCACAAGAAAGGATAGGTGGGGCTGGCAAGCAGAGAGAATAAACAGAAGAAGAAATCTGGGAGAGAAATAGAGGAGTGAGAAAAGGAGGAGAGGAGGACACTAGGCCAGACACCCAGCTACACAGCAAGCCAAAGAGTAAGAAGTAAAGAATGGTACATAGAATAGAGAAAGGTGAAAGCCCAGAGGCAAAAGGTAGACAGGATAAGTTGAGTTAGGAAATCTGTCTAGGAAACAAGCCAAGCTAAGAAAGAATAAGACTCTGTGTGTGGTTATTTGGAATCTAGGTGGTGGGGCCCCAAAGACCTAAGAGCAAAGAGAGAAAAAAAAAGACAAAATTCAAAGAGCCTGTCACTGCCATTGCTCTACTGCCCAGGGCAAGAGAAGGGACTGGCATGTGGCTGACATGAATCACAATTCATATCCTTCTATCAGTAGAGATTAAGAGTTTCCACTCAGGGGCACAAATGATTTATACTGAAGGCAGCCTGTTGCTAAAAAAATAAATCCACTGAAACTAAAGTTGAGATGTAATCCCTACCTTGAGGTGTTAAGACCAGCTTTGATTGGGTGGGACCTTTAGGAAGTGACTGAGTCAAGAGGGATCTGGATGGATGGATTAATGGCTTACAAACGGCTCTGTCTCTTGTATGTATCCCTCTCACTACATCATACATACCCCGAGCCACCTTGGGACCCTGCGGAGCAAAAACACCCTGACTAGATATGCCCTCCTGCTGGCCTTGGGCCTTTCAGCTTCCAGGGCTGTGAGATTAATAAACCTTAATTCTTTTATTTTATGTGCATTGATGTTTTGCCTGCAAGAGTGTCTGTGTGAGGGTACTGGATCCCCCGGAGGTGGAGTTACAAGAAGTAATCTGTCTTATGGGTGCTGGGAAATACACCCAGGTCCTCTGGAAGGGTAGCCAGTGCTCTTAGCCATGCGGCCATCTCCCTCCCTTTTGTTCATTACAAATTATCCAGTCTATTATCCAGTTGTAGCCACAGGAACTAGGTTGAGACAGCTTTATCACAGGCACTCAGGGGGAGTGACATGGACTCTGGGCACCCAGTTCCTGTCTCAACTTCTTCCTAAGCCTGGCTTCTACCTGCAGAGTTTCACTGCTCCTTTATTCTCCTTTGAACCTGACTTCTCTAACTTTTGCAATTAGGAAGAGGTCTCCAGAGCCCACAATGGTCATGGCCCCTGCCTGGGCCCACTCCTCCCATATAGTTCCAATGAGGCCCAGGTCCCATGCAGACCTCTGACCTTTAAGCCACGTTGGAAGGTAGAGATGGACAGTAGGGCTAGGTCTTGCTGCTCCTCAGCATATCGAACCAGGTACACATAGACAAGCTTCTTCACCTAGGACAGAGCAGGTGTCTTGGCAGGTTTCCCAGCAGGGGGCAGTACCTTCACCTCCCAGGATGCCATCACCACCCCTCTATGCAGCTGTGGTTCATAGGGTCAAGTTCCTCCAGTCGGGAACAGCAGCCTTGAGTGTGTCCCCAGTCCTCTGCCCCGATTCACATCCAGTTCAGGGACATAAAGACAATGTCTTCTGGATCAGGGACAGCTTGAACAGATCAAGCCCCCAAGGGTTGAATAGTTTCCTTCCTTGCCCTCAGCCCAGCTTGAGTTTAGTCAGGGCTGGGACTGGAGAGCTATTTCTGGGTGATGCTTACCTCTATGTTCTTACAGGCTACATTCTTCACCACAGCAGGGAACAGGTCTGAGGCGTTCTTACCCCGGGCGATCATCTGTGTGTTGGGGTCAAAAGAAATGGGGAGGGGAAGAGCACTGATTGGCAAAGCCTGATACATACCCACGGTCACTGCACAGGGACACCCAGGCCTGTCACCCATGGGAAGCCCCTCTTACTGCCACAATCCTCTTCATGGCTTCCAGCTTGAGAGAATCCTTATTGGTGTCCAACATCTCTTTCAGGTCATCATGCCTGGTGGGAGGCACAGAAGGTCTGATGAGGAATGGGGGTGAGGCATGGATCACCAGGGTCCAGGCAGGACTCAGGCCAGCTCCAGTTCAGAGGGGGACCAAAGCAGGGGGGTTATGAGGGATGGAAATGGGTAAGATACAGAGTGGGGTTTCAGGAGAAACACATTCCCCAGCCCAAAGGAGGATGTTGAAGTCCTACCCACCTAGTGCCTTAGAATTTTTGGAATGTGATTTGTCAAGGATGTGGGCTGGGGAGATAGCTCACTTGATAAAGTGTTTGCCCCATAAACATAGGGGCCTGTTCAATCTCCACTACCCACATAAAAGCTGAGTGAAGTGGAAAGTGCTTGTAATCCCAGAACTGGGGAGGTGAAGACAGGAAGATCCCTGGGGGCTCACTGAGCAGCCAGTCTAGGCTAATGTGTGAGCCTCAGGTCCCAGTGAGAGACCATCTGAAAAAAAAAAATCTGGTGGATGGCTCTTGAGGAATGACACCCAAGGATGACCTCTGGCTTGCTAATGTGTGAGCCTCAGGTCCCAGTGAGAGACCATCTGAAAAAAAAAATCTGGTGGATGGCTCTTGAGGAATGACACCCAAGAATGACCTCTGGCTTACACACACACACACACACACACATACACACACACACCTGTACCCCATACACATATAAAGATGGAATGACATGTTTCTTGATTTATAATGGTATTATGTCCCCATAAACCCAGTGTAAAATGAACATATCAAGATGAAAATATATTTAATACACTTCAACTACCAAACATCATAGGATAGCCCCGGCCCATCATCATGTTCCCAGAAGTCTTGCATTAGCTGATAGATGGGCACAACATCAAAGTATCACACTGCTCATTACTAGCCTGGGAAAGGAACAAAACTCAAAGTTCTTTCTATGGAAGGTACCTCACTTTCACAGCACCATATAGTCAAAACTCATAGGCTGAGCCATCATTAAGTTAGGGACTACTTGTACTGAAGTTAAATGAAGCCACATTTGGGTGGCTTCCTAGTCCAATATGTCTCCTGCTTTTTTGTTAGTTCAATTTGAGACAGAGCTTGCTATGTAGCCCAAGCTGGACTCCTACCTCAGCCTGATGATTCTCCTGCCTCAGCTCCTGGAGTGCAAAGATTACTAGCCTGCACCATCACACCCAGATCCTCTGGTATCCCATTCAAAGAGACGGAATCACAAAGAAAACACTGTAAAGACACAGTACTGAAGATTTTCATTTGTAAGCCAACACATATCAATGATTGCCAGCAAGCCACCTGAACCTTGGAAGGATTCCGCTTTAGATTTCCTAGGGAACAGGACCTTGATAATACCTTGATTTCAGACTGAAACAGAAGTTTCTACTCTAGGGTCCGAGATGTAGCTCAGGGGGTACAGTGCTTGTTTAGCTGTGCAAAGCCCTGGGTTTGATCCCCACATAAACTGGGCATAGTGGCACATCCCAGGCTCATGAATCCCAGGCAGGAGGACCACAGACCCTGTCCCCAAAAGGTAATACAGCTTGTGGTCCTTTGTTACATCAACCATAGAAAACTAAGCCATGCATGATGATGCATACCTATAATCCTCACTCAGGAGGCAGAGGTGAGTGGATATCTGTGAGATTCAGGCCAGCCATCACTACACAGTGAGACCCTGTCTCAAAAACCAAACCAACAAAACAACAACGAAGTTCAGAGAACCAAGGGACAGAGGAAAGTTTGGGGCTAGCTTGAAGGATGGGAAGAACCAAGGCAGAAACAGGAGGATCTCTGGAGCTTGCTGGCTAGCCTACCTCATCAAAGCAGTGAGAGCCAGGAACCAGCGAGAGAGGCCTTGCTTCAAAAAAACAAAAAAAACAAAAAACAAAAAAAAACAAGGTAGAGGGTTGCTGAGGAAGGACACACAGGGTAGGTCTCTGACATCCACACACATGTGCTCACATGTGCACCTGCACAGTGCCCCCATCCACACGGAAAGAAAAGCAGACTGTGATGCTCTTTCCCCACATCAAGCATGCTTGCAAGTCTTGACCTTACAAACCAAAATGAATCCAAAGACTGGCCAGCTCCCAAAGATTCCATGGATGGCCTTATTGTCCAGACTTGTCAGTTAGCATTAAGTAGCCATGTATGAAGCCATACAACACTACCGGGAGAAATAAAACATCTATAAACAACATGCAGCCCTACGAGAGAGGCCAATGTGTCTGCTGTACATACTGAAAAATAAATGACCCACACCATGAGAAAGGGAATCTCCTTACCCATGTCCTAGTTACATGTGTGAGCCTAACCAAAAAAAAAAAAAAAAAAAAAAAAAAAAATGAGGAGGGACAGAAGCACTAAGAAACCCATGTCCCAAGAACTTTAGGAATGTCTTTTCTCACCTGGCCTCCATACGCGCGCACACACACACACTTTTCTGAAGAGATTTTTGACAGAAAGCAAAGTAGAAAAAGGAATGCCCTCTAGAACACAGAGGCCCTTGTTAGCTGGCAGATGATGGGTAGAGGAAAGTAGCCAGCCCTGCTTATGTTAGTTCAAAATGCCCTTGCCTGGGTGGATGCCCAAGACCCAAAAATTTCTGGCACCCTCAAAGCAAAGACCATAAAACAATCACTTTGTCCGTCTCGCTACTGTAATGGTAGTTATTTCTTAAGAAACAGCCCTTCCTGGTGGCAGGCTCCATAAGACTCAGGAAGTATATGAAACTTATAAGACCAGGAAATAAGACTCAGCAGATCCCTCCCGGAAGTTACATAGTAGTAACCATCTTGGAGAGAGGAGACTCTTCCACAGGCATAGCCACAAGTGTGCAGGGAGATCCATGGATGAGGTTTTATGAACTGTCACCTTTGCTAGAGTGGACTTTTCAGTGATCCAGCTGCCTTTGAGTCACCCATGCTCCCTTAGGTAACTTCTCACCCATACTCCTGGAATTTCCCGGCTCACCAAGCTACATTTAGAATTGTTTCCTTGGCCTGTCTTTGGTGTTACATGTTACATAATTGTTCATGTAACTCCAGGAAAGGTCACATAACACTCCCAAAGACAGACATGGTTGTCTGTTACTCAGGGGTGTTGTGTTGAGGTGTGTACAGAAGGACAGACTATTGGCTGGGCATTGGCAGTACTGAGAGACTTGGAAGCTGACAGAGATGGACACCAGCTTTCCCCATGTCTAAGTGTGCACTGATACACCAGTAAAATATACACTCCATGTTAAACTCACATACAAGTACCTCTCACATGTACCACACACACTTTCATGCCTGTGATTAATACCTATACCCTAGAGACTGAGCCATACCCAAAATACCCCCAAAATAATACAGACACAAATAATCATATATATGAAACTGTAGACAAATACCCACAAACTCCAGAGAAACACACAAGCTCACAGAAACACACAAAAAACCACACAGCAGAAGCACTCTCAATGTACAAATCCCCAGACACACTTCACCTACACACCAATAAATATACCCCACAAGAGACCACTCCACATTACCCATGCTGTCCTATAGACATACACAGCCCACACAGGCCACTTACAGTCACATACAACAGCCAGATCTAATACATATACAACCTTGACAAATTTGGTCCCTCCAGGCTCATTCACCAAAATGGCCAGGGGAATGCAAGATAGATGAGGGGATCCTCTGACCTCCTGAGGCCCAACTTGGTGGGGTGTGGAGTAGACAATGGCCTGCAGTGGACAGAGCAGGCTCAGTCTCCTTAACTCTCAGTGGTCTCTAGAAGCTGACTGATTCACACCTGGGTGTCCTTGCCACACCCAAAATGCCTCAGGTCCCT